GAACGGAGGCGGTGGCGGCGGCGGCGGCGGGGAGTTCTCGTCAATCTCGGCCAGCATTGTTCGTCAGTCAGTCAATCTCGACCAGCATTGTTCGAACGTCGGATATAAAAACAAGCCGTGCATCCGGCTCCACACCAGGCGTTTTGGCCGCGAGGGCCGCCTCCGTACCCCCCGCCCCTGCCACCGCCTCTACTCCCGCCGCCGGCGGGTCCGCCGCCGTACGGACCCGCTCGGAGTAACCTGGGGGATCCGGGACCGCCCCGCCGGAGGCTGGAATACCCGGGAGGAGGTGCTGGGGGAGGGGAGGTGCCGCAATGCGATAACGGTTCCGCCGGCGGGCCGAGGGGCCGAAGCCGGAGGGCCCCGGAGGGGGCCTGGGGTCAGCTGTCGGAGAGGGTGAGAGATGAGCTGGCGCGGCCTCTGCAAGTAGAGTCGGGACGTACGGACGAGCCGAAGACGATAGAGAGACCGCGGGGGCGGGCGCGAGTCATCGATCGAAGTGAGCTGGCCCCACTTCCCGGGGAGGGGCGGCGTGGCGATCTAATGCCGCTGCCCTCGCCCGAGGAGTCGGGCATGGGATCACCGTCGGTGGTGGCGACAGAATCGGACAGAGAAGACGAGGCGGTGGCGGGGCCGCGGCTAAAAAAGGCTAGGAGGGGAGGCCGGGCCCCGCGCCCGTCAGGGGATCATCGGAAGGCGAACAAGAGGAAGAACTCAGAGGAGAGGGGGGCCTCCTCCGGAGTGAGGATGAGGACCTCGCGCGAAGAGGCCCTGGGCGGTGACGTCGTGTGAGAGTGCGTGTCGTGTGCATGTCTGGTGTTCATTATAGCTCCGAGTAGAGGGGGCGGTCTGCTGCTAGGGGAAACCCGGAGCGCGGAGCCAACCCTCGGAGACCCGTGTTTACTTTACGGCCCTCTCCCTGCGAACGCGCACCCCCTGGGCTAGGGCTCTCTTGCCCGCAACCCGATGCCAATCATCCGGCCCGCTGGGTGCGCTTCTCAGCTCCCCGACCCTGGGTGTGCGGTTGCCGACTGCACTCCAAGTGCTCCAAGGATCCGCTGTTCTGCCCCACTCCTTTGCTGGCGCAGGTCCTCGTGCGTGCGTCTTATCTCATCTGGAATTACAACAAAAATCGCGCACACACAGCCAGAGGGAGTGACGGCGGCTCCTCTGGCCCTGGGTCGCTCAAAAGCGGCGCTACGGCGGCGATGCGCCTGAAGGAAAGGGCGGCGGCGGCGCGGCGCCTTGGCCGCCCTTTGCGGAACGTGCGTCTTGGATGGTGTTTGGCGGTGCGGGCGGGGTGGCGGAGATCAGATCCGCCGTGAGGGAGGCACAGTGTGAGATCTGGGACGAGGTGGCTCATGCTCAGGCGCAAGTCAGGCACGACTGTGAGAGGCGGGAGGCGGGCTCGTGGCCGTTGAAATGGCTGCTCGCCGCCGCCGCGGTCACCGCTGGCTCATTGATCACGTTGCTCGAGCTCTGCCGCCGTGCAGGGCTCCATAGTCAGCGACAATTGGGCGCGAAGCGGATGCTCGATGAGATTGAGAGGGATACCGAGGGCCTTGAGGCAGAGCCTCCTGCTCGACATGTCGCCGACACAAGCTTGCCCGAGGGCGAGGCTCAGCCTAAGGGAGAGAAGCACAAATCTCAAGAACAAGACGATGCTGGGAGCGAGGTTGAGTTGACCCAAAAGAAGTAGTAGGGTACCAGTACGAGATGTGACAACCGGAGATGGTCGCTCTCTCGTCGGCCTTCACGAGCTTGTCACACCTCCGGAGGTCTCGTCGCACCCCGCATGCGCGCGCGCCCACGCGCCGCGGATCAGCCTCGTTATTTTATCAGCTCGTGGGCTGTCCCACTTTATATATCATGGCGCGACCCGACGCCCGACACACACATAAAGGGCTGTGCTGAGCGCAGTGCACCCTCTCCTGAGGGGGTTGACTCTTCAGGCTTCCAGTCGCCGTGGGGCAGCCCGAGTCCCGCCCGTGTACTCAGGAGAGAAACTTGCCGTCGGCGTCTACCTCGCTGAATCCAGTCCCCTCGCCGCCGACCTGGCCAATCCCGTCAACCTCGCACACGGCGCCCTTGAACTTAGGCAGGTAGGGCGCCCTGCAGAACGAGGAGTAGGCGATCTCCGAGCCGCGGTAAATGGGCACAAACGACTTGTTGCACACGACAAACGGGTTGCGCTCGTCGTACGCCTGCGGCAGCAGAGGGCGTGAGGCGCGCGGGCGGGAGGGCGGAGGGGAGTCCAGATCAGAGGGGAGGGGAGGGGAGCGGGGACAGGAGTGGATTGCAGCGGGGGCGCGCGCGCCATAGTGAAGTCATCGGTCAAATCCGACTCGCAAGCCTGGATCACCTTGCGCGCCGTCTGCGCGAATTCGGGCTTCGGGTTGAGCTC